ATAAAATAAACTTTTTTCAAATATTATTCTTAATTAATAAGTCTATTTCTTTTTGAATTATAACTTATTATTCTTTTATATACTTTTTATCTACTATTGCTTTTTTATATGTATTAGATATTTTGATTTTGAAAATTTCGATTATTAACAAAACGGTTTCAGTTTTTGTTGGTGTATTTATTAAAAGAATTAAGATTTTCGAAGCAATTTCATTATTTGTTTTCTTCTTGAAGTAGTAAATATTTGGAATGGTAATTATAATGTATTTGATTGGTTTTATTATTGGTTTATTTAAAAAGGCAAGTAAAGTCTGAATAATTTTAGAATTTCTTTACCCTTTTATATCATTATCATTACTTTTCTTTCTTTTTCTAAGATTATATCTCGAATTTAATGATATAAAAGTAAATATAAATATAAGTATAATAAGTAGTAAAGTTATATTAAATAATATAATATTAGGTAATATAATTTTAAATAATAAATTTGAATTTGATAATATAGAATTAAATAGTAAAGTTATATTAGATAAAGTAATCTCAATTTCTTTATTGTTTTTCCTTATTGGTCTTAATAAATTATTAATTATTTATTAAATATTTCCATGTTTATTTTTATTAAAGCATAATATTCTCTTAATCTTTATTCATTTTAATATTGATAAATATATCTTTATTAAGTCTATAATTATTACATCTAATAATATTAATGAATTAATTAGAATAAACAATAATTCAGGGATGTTCTTAAATTTACTATAAAATCTATAATCAGATTCTATATTCTTAATATTTTATAATCTGACTATACAATTTCTAAGTTTGAGATTTAAATCCCCTCTTTTATAGCTTTTATTGATTATAATATAATAAGAGTAATATATATAATCTAACTTTAATAAATAAACCTTTATATACTTAATAATATCTTTTAAATATCTTAGGAATATTCTAACCCTTATTATATTATAAAGTTTATTATACCTTTATCATTTTAGAATAGTTTTAAGGTTAATATAAATATAATATTAATTCCTCTAAACCTTATATATATTGATATCTAGTAATATACTTATAAATGCTTTAAATAAACTTTAATCAATTCTATTTACATCTGGGTTAATACTAATACATTTTCGAATATATATATCATATTTAATAGCTTTATTTTAAAACTCTAATAGTAAATAAGCTTCTTTCAATATTATTCTTATATCAATTTTTATAATATATATATTATATTCAACTAAATTCTTTTAATAAGATAATATAATTATTATAATTTTTAATTATATATTAGCCTTTTATTTCCAAATAGTTTGAAAAAGTTCTAATACATTATTAATTCTGGTAATAATTATAGCTATATTTATAGCGAATTCAATTTCTTACTTTTAGACTTTCAATAAGAATATTATATTGATTTTCTATTTTAATAAAATAATTCAATTTATTCTTATAGTATTATCAATAATAATAATAAAATATCTATATTCTTAAATAAATCTTAAAAAAGGACTAGTAACATTAAAATAAATTAATTCTAATTTCTTAGATTTTTATATACTTAATTGGCTTAGGATTCTATTAATTATTTTTATGAGAATGTACACTTTATAAATATCAAAAGTTGAAGGAACCTTAATAGATTTTTAAAATGTAATAATTTTATGTAAATTCCTGATTTTATTAGGACTAAGATAATTAAAGTGTTTATACTAAATAAGATATCTTTTCTTCTCTATTATAATTAATTCTTTAACTTTCTTTTTTATATCATTAATAATCTCTATAAAGAATATAAAGAATATAGAATCTTTATATTCTGGTTTTATATATGAAATGATATATATTTCATCTTTTATTATAGTTTTAATGATTTTATTATTCTTATTATTTTTTAATGTGAAATATATCTTCTTGAGATTAAATTTAATTTTAAATTCTATCTCATAAATTCTCTTAACTGAGAATAGATTAATCCCCAATCTAAATATATATAGTACCCCAATTAACAATATTCTTATTTCATTTTTATATATTATATTTACTATTTCTTATTTATTCGAGTATATAGCTCTTTTATTAACTATTATCTTTTGTTATGGAATATAAGTTAAACTTTTAAAGAAAGAATATTAATTAGATATATATGAAGTAGTATTAATATTAATATATTATTACAATAAGGATACCTTACTAATACTTTTTTTAATAAAATAATAATATTTAAAATCAGATTTATTATTGATAATACTTTTAGTGGTATTGAAGCTTAATTTAATAATATAAGTCTTATATTCCCTATACTTTTTATTTCTTTATAATAAAGAGGTAGATTATTTTCTCTTTTGTTTATACTTTGAATTGGATTTTAAAAAATACTTGGTATAATAAAGCTAAAAGCATTTTAAAACTAAATAACGAGGTTTGTTGTAGAATTTATAAGTAATAATAAATATGTTAATTTTTGAGTTTATATTAATCTTATACTGATAATAAAATGGGATATATTTCTTTTCTTTTGTAAGATATATTAAATCTTTAAAGTTTTGTATTTCTATCTTTTTGATTTATAGATATTTGATTTTATTATTAATATTTAAAATATAATTAATAATGTGGATTATATTAATAATAACTTTATATTTATTAGGAAAAGATAAGATTAGATTTTGAAAAAGTAATTTATTTATATATAAAGTGTTAATTAAATATTTGTAAATAAAAGCTTTTATTAAAAATCTTTAAGCTTATTCTAAATACTTATAATAATTATATTAAAAATATTATTAAATTGAAAAAAAAAAGGTTTTAATCTTGAGGAGGTATTTATCTATTATAATATTATTGATTCTAAAGTATTTAATAGTTAAATAATTTTAAAGTTTCTTTACTATATTATATTCTTTTATTAAAGCTTTATTATTATTAGATAATAAATAATAAATATAAAATAATATATTAGTATTATTTTTAAGAAAGATAACCTTTTATTGATATTGAGTTGAATCTTTATAATAATATTACTATTGTTACTGAAGACTTGAAGTTCTTCGAAATCCTAAATTAAATTGTTAGCTATTGTAATCCATATATATTTATGTAATATCTTTTTATATATATAAAATCAATCTTTTTCTTAAAGTTGAATTCTTATTTGATGAGTTTAGTGTTTGTGATTCTCTTGAATAAGAAAAAGGATATATTTGGAATAATTTCTAAATCTAATATCTTTGTTCATTTTAAGATTCTGTAAATAGGAAACTTATATTAATAATTTGAATATAATTTAATAATAAAATGAAAAAGTGGAAAAGAAACTATTTAAATTATATTATTTTAGTTTTAAATATACTAATATTTGGAGGAAAAAATTCTCTTTAAAATAAAATAATTGAAAATAGTGAATTTTGATTTATAAGTAATAATTTTTAAAGTAATATTAAATATTATATAATTAATAATGCTTTTCAATATTAAGCTAGAATGAATAGTTCTTTTAATAATAATTCATAGTTTTTTTTACTTAAAGAAAGAATATAATGTAAATAGTTACTTTGTTATTGTTATTTAGTCATCTGTTTACTATATGTATCTTATATATTGATGTTATATTGTATAAAAGCTTTTTATTATTAACCTTTACTTTGGTAATATAAGTTATTTAAAGAGCTTTCAGTCTTAATCTTACTATAGAGCTACCGGACTTATAATTTATTCATAATAAAGAAGCAGGCTAATGAAATGTATATATTATTGACTATATAGATTAATTGTACTAAGGTAAAATCTAATTATAAAGTGGAAGTGATATATATACAGTAGCTAAGCGTACGTACCACAACTTCCAACACTTATTAATAACTTTTTTATCTATCGAAAAATTTTATTGAAGATTTATATATATATAATTTAGATTAATTTAAATTTATTCTGAAAATTTTGGATTTTTATGATTTTTCTGAATAGAGATTTGAAGCTTTAAAATATTGATTTTTTAATTTATATAAGAATTATATATAAATTTAAAATTAGTTTAAAATCTTTAATAACTTCTTAATTAAAATTATTAAAAATAGTCTAGAAATTTTCATTATAAAGTTACAAAATTCATAATATAAAAGATTTAAAAAAATTGGAAAAATCTCAATTAATAAGTATTTATAAGAGTACTTTCGAAAGTATAAGAATTTTTTATTTATTTAAATTATATCTTTATAACTGTTAATTTATTTTTATTTTCTATATATAAATTCAAGTTCGAAACCTAAAAAAAAGTAATCAGTTTCCTTTTATTAATTATAATTAAAAAAGGAATTGAAAATTTAAAATTAATTTCAACTTTGCATGTAATTCTTATATAAATTAAAAACTCGATTTTTTAAAGCTTCAGATCTCTCTATTTAGAACAATCCTTAAACTCTAATTTTTTTAGTACAGATTTAAAATGATTTAAATTATATACATAGAAATTTTTGATTAATTGTATTATATTTTGATAAAGATATCAATAAACTAAAAAGCCTTTTTTGGTGTAAAGAGTGGTCTAAACAGAGGTGGCTAGAAAGTCGAGTACCCGACTTACTACGAAGCTGAACCTCAATTCGCATCCATGACCCAACCCCTCTCACCGGAATAATTTCTATATTGACTAAAAACAACGAGAGTTTGGAGAACCAAAGCGCAAAGGCAAAACCATGATCTGATTATCAAATCTGAATCGAGACATGAGAGACATTGCGGTATGCGATCTGTGTCACTGTCTCTGTCACACGTCGTTCGTACCCCCCCTTTTCAACCGCACGTCCGAGAATTTTCTCTTAACTCCGAGAATTTCTACCCTACTCATTCACCATCAAATTCGAAGTTTGGTGTTTCAACACTCTCGCTATTGCTATAAACTCTTTTCTCTATTTTTTTTCTCCTCTCCTGTAAAAGAACTCTCTATACTCTACATCTCTTACCTATCACGACGTAGATCCTACCTTCTAGAAGAAGATGCCTATTCTCGCAGGAAAAGAGATATCTCAGAATGGACTAGGTCTCATGCGTAAGTTTCAGCTTCCACTTGAAATCCCACCCAGAAGATTACCAAGTCGAGCAACTCTCACCGATCTCCCACAGGAATGACCTGGCGCGGTGAGCAAACCCCCGACAGTGTTGCCTTTCCCGTCCTGAAGGCCGCTCTTGCAGCCGGAGTCAATGTATGGAACGGCGCAGATTTCTACGGTTCTGCCGAAAACAACTCTTTGCATCTTCTCGCGCGCTACTTTGCAGCATATCCTGAAGATGCCGAGAGAGTTGTTCTCTGTATCAAGAGTGGTTTTGCCGATAGGAAGACATTCACGGTGGATAGTTCGCCGGAGGCGGTCTATAAGTATGTCGAGAATGCGAATAAGATCTTAGGGGGGCATAAACATATTGATCTGTTTGGGATGGCTAGGCAGGATAAGGTTACGCTGATTGAGGATACCGTTAAGGCTTTGGATGAGTGTGTCAAGAAGGGGTTGATCGGCGGAATTCAATTGAGTGAAGTCTCAGCCAATTCCATTCGTCGAGCTAGTGCAGTAGCAAAGATCGATATGCTCGAGGCGGAGATTAGCTTGTGGGCTACCGATGTCTTCGAGAACGGCGTCGCAGAAGCTTGTGGAGAATTAGAAATCGTGATGTCTGCTCATACGCCAATTGGAGCAGGCATGCTGACGGGCCAGTTCAAGAGTTTGGATGATTTGCCGGAGGGTGATCCGCATCGACACTTTCCCCGTTTCCAGCCAGAAAACTTTCACAAGAATCTAGAGCTGGTGGAGGAGTTAGGAAAGTTGGCTTCGGAGAAGGGCTGTACCCCTGCACAGTTGGCTTTGTGTTGGATCAAGTCGCAGAGCAAGAAGCCAGGCTATCCTCCTATCATTCCAGTATTTGGGGCTAGAACAGAGTCTAGGGTTAAGGAGAACACGGCGGAGATTGAACTGACGGACTCGGATCTTGACAAGATTAATGAGATTCTTGTTAGCTTTCCGGTGCAAGGACATAGGTATCCAGCTGCGACTGCTGGTCTTTGCGAGTATTAGGACGGGATTTGCACTATCATTTTCGCGACACAAGACGAAGTCACTATAGGTAGCAGAATTGATGAAACTAAATTATGCATTGACAGTCCCCGTATGATTTGGCTACAAATCACTATGTGATTATCAATGAGACTGATGTTCCTAAAATAGTGTTAACAAAAATCCTGTTGGAGAACCTAAATATGAACAAGCAGGATAGGATCCTTCAAATCAGGCCCGACAAGTATTTACTATAAACGGAATCAGGAATGCGGTAGACAGCTCCTATATTTCTTCTCTCTTTTTTCCCGCTACTATCTTGGGTATCTCTACGGCTTATCGTTGCCGTTTTCCTGCTTGATCACTGCCGGAAAATCTCATAAAGAAACTGCAGCAACGAGAGAAAAGCGACTTTAAAAAGAACCCAAGAGCAAGAAATAATGTGAGAGCAAAGAGGGCCGCAGAATCCCACAAACAATTCCAAAACTAGGATGCTGCGTCGAACTACTTGTATGACCCATACTACGACCTGTAATCCGCAATCGAGATCATGTCACAGGTTATACCAGACCCCAGTTCCTATTCCTCCGTTTCTTTGTAAGAAGGAAAGAAAGAAGATGTGAAGAAGAGAGGCTGTTGAAGGGTTGGAAAGAAAGCTAGCTCGGGTCAAAGTTTACATGCTGCATGTTACCTAGCTTTCCCTTCAGCAATACACTCGATGGTCTGTCATTTATGGAAATGACACAATTACCGGTATCTCAATCACATCGTACTGTTTCACGGGCTCACGGCTTCACAATCAAGACCTTCATCACCGTGAAATATATATATATATATATATATATATCAACAAAAGCCTCCTGCATTGACTGACTAATCGACTAACTGACTGGCATGGCAAAACGAGAAATCAACGAAAATATCCACTCTTCAATCTCTCACACAATTTTCCGTATATCCTCCCCAATTCTCACGATTGTTCCCCTGGCTTATCTATCTGCTCACTGGCAGTCATCATCCCCACAAGCCGTTGGTACCCTTGGTCAATTTACCATACCCTCTCGACCTCTTATTCCCCATTTCGCTTCTCAGAAAAACCAACCCCCACATTCAGAAACAACAGCAGACAAAACTCAAAGTACGAAACGCTCACTCAACAGCCCACAAGTCAAATTCATGCATCAACAATAAGTGCATCCACGCAACAACATCAACTAACACGCAGTCAAGGTAGAAGAAATAATCAGATGCAAGCAAAGAGGAACTATTGTGTCGGAGTCTGATGCAAAAGACACGATTGGGCAGTAAGCCTTCTCAAATACCTTCACATCGAACCCAATAAGAGAAGAGAAAATGACAAGAAATACGATGAGAAATCCATCAACAACACATGTAAGAAACACCAGGATCCGCGATTGGCGAGATCATGTACCCATCCATCCCAATCCATTGCAATCCGGTTCCCTTGTTGCCCATTTGTCCATCCATTCAATTCATCCATCATTACCATGTCTGAGATCCGCGCAAAAGAAAATACCCGAGACCAAATCCAACTCCGTCACCAAAATCAATGTATTTTTTTCCCGATCCATCCTAGACCAAACCTAGATGCAAGCTTTTTCCATCCATTCATCTGACCCATGTTGATCCATGCTGTATGTGTGTCATACCGAGATGATATGAACCAGATCCCATTCGATTTTGTAATATTCCCAAGTGAAATTTCCCAATCAAATATGCTAACATGACCCTTTAGCCTTCAATCCTTTCCTATGCCTTGCGCCAATCAATTCTATAATTAGGGTGTTTTCTGCAGAAATACCAAGCAACTAAGCGATGAGCCAATCCAGTATACTCCAGCTGACAATTGAAGAAATGGGCAACCATGAGATGCGATGCGCAGACAATTATAATCGAACCAGAGCAGAGAAGGGAGGAAGATAAGACGGGACTCACGAGTGCTGTAGCCTAGTGCAGCACACGTCGTGTTATATCGCGTGCTAAATTGCGATTAGTCCTCTATGTGAAATGGCTAGCTGATATTGAGTTCCTGTGCCAATGCAATTGTTGGAAAATATCCCTTTGATTCCGGGACTCCTTCCCACCTTCCACAATGTCTACCCAAAGAATCTTGTGCACCACTGATGCTCGGTAAGGAGTAGCCACCAGTGTTATATTCTTGCTTGATTTTTCCTGGCACATATTCTGGAAGACTAGGCAATTGGTTCCGTGGCTCTGCGCCCTCCCATATTGGAGTTGGGTAGTACATATAGCAAGGAGCATCCTCAATGCTTTTGGCTTCTTCAGCAGAAAGAGTAGGTTCCATAGGAATCTGAAGAGGTCCAGTGCGATAATGGTGGGATCGACCATCGTAAGAACCGTAATTATTAGACCCGGGAAGCATGGAGGAAGTTCCAGACATGGTAACATCGCCTGGGGTGCGAGATGATCCGGATGGTGTATACGAACCACCACCAGCACCTCCAGCGCCGCCAGGTCCAGAACTTGCATTACTACCGCGTCTTTCGCTCTGGTAATGTCCGGGTGAGCGACCACGCACTACCATTGGTGCGGACATACGAACGGCAATTTTTACCCAGCGTTCTGAATGATTGTGGTTAGTGCCCAAATCTGCGAAAAGTTCTACGAGTAGGTGATAATATTGTTGAGCGGCTCTCCGTTTCCCATTATTCGCAGTCGCATTCTTGAATTGGATGCGCTCGAAAGTTGCTTCGTTTGGCGGTGAGCTTGGTGACTGACCAAAGGATCCATCGTACATTCCACGTGGTCCACCTCCAATACCGTTGTCGCCGCCATACATGTTATGTGTTGTGTGCGGTCTTGGGGCAACCGCGATCCTTGGCGGCTTATCCTGTGGTCCTTTGTCTCTTTTGGGAGTGTGCTGGACCAACTCTATTGATTTTCCATCGCGCGAATCTACCACTGCTGCTATTGACATGGCAAACTGTTGCACCTGCGGTCTCATTCCACCAGACAACAAAAGATATACATTTGCTCCCGGAACGATAGGTTGAAGTGTAAATGAGCAACTCAGCGAAAAGTAGTTTCTTCTATAGCAGGTCCAATCGTTTTCTGCCATGAAAAACCCCTTGTCAATTTTACCAAAGATTTCCGGAGTGATGATCTGTCCGTCAGCCGCCTGCAAAGTGAGGATGACTTCTGTCGGATTTAGAGGAGGGGTAAGTGGCCCTCCAAGTTGAGATCCCTCCATATTCGCCGGACTTGCGAATCCGCTGTTGGATGGTGATAATGGTACGCCTCTCACAGTTCCAGAGGTTGACGGAGATCTTGAAATTCCGTCCGTTCTTCGTAGATGTGGTGTTGCACTTGCGTATAAATCTCGTGTGCTTATTGGTGATTGTGGATGTGGTAAGGCTGGTGAGCGTGAGGGTGGTGCCATTCCAGGGGAGGAGTGACTGTGCGGATAGATCATTATTATCTGTGCACAGAAATGGTGGTGTATCGAAGTACTTAAAAGGGGGTGAGAGGTACGTACATAGAGTTCAAGCGGGGTTTAAGATCGGGCATAGAAAATAAAGACGAGCTCGGAGAAAAGTACGGGTTGCTCCCACCTGAGTACGTGGGACCGTTCAGTGTTGACTGATAGGCATGCGCGTATGGTGGGAATGGGATGTTGGACGGGATTGAGTTTGGTATCGTGGGTTCTATCGAGAACACAGGGCTATGAGAGGTACCGGAATCGGACGTGTAACTGAGCTATCATATCAGCCACGGGTCTCAACAAGTGTAAGACAAAAGAAGATAAGGTTCTGAGGAGACACGGCCTATGGAATGAAATTTCTTCATGGCGGTAATGATGCCCAGTTGGACTGCATATGTATGACAGCCAACACAGCCGTCAGTGGTACAGAATAGCGGGGACTACTCGCGTGATGCGAACCATTGCGGAAGTGCAGGCGGTTTGGCTTGATCTGAGGCTTAAGTTGTGTGACAACTGGACAAGAACCATGACGGAGTGTGAGTCGTGGCATGTTCATTGCATTACCAGCCTTAGCGCAGATCGCACAAGCGGTAGATACATGCATGATTTTAAAATTAACGATAATGAGAAAAAACCCAAGGAGTGGTGTATGTGCCTAAATGCAAGGTTGACGAGGGGGTACATCGGGAGAAAAGAAATGACCAACGAAATTTGGGGGTAGACTTACCGTACATCATCTGTCGCTGGAATTGTCATGTATCGCATCCCCATATCAGAGGGTAACGACGGAGGGTGAACAAATTCCTGTCTTGAAGAGCTGTCAGGCTCTGGTTCGGATCCGACAATACACGAAGACGAATGCCCTGAATAGGCGGTTAGGTCTTGGATATTACCAGATTGAGAGCACATGAAGTGATCGAGTGTTATTTTTTGAGGTGTAAGGACTATTGGGTAAGATGGTTAGTATCGGATGATATCAAGATTCTCGGAATATTCAAGGTAATAAGATTGAGATAGGTTATTGAAATCTTTATGGATAAAGAAAAAACATAAACGAGGCGAACCAGAAATAAGAACGAAAAGCAGGATTGTAGAGACAGTGCCAATTGGGTAGCGAGTGAATTGTGCTGTAACGACGTGATTAATGAAAGCTTTTGGGAGGAGGGGGAGGGGGAAGAGGGAGGGGGGAATCTGGCAAAATTCAGATTGAATGATATGATAGGGAGTAGGATGTATAACGTTTTTAGGATTAGGCTACTTTGTGCGCCTCTTTTTGAATCTCAATTTTCTGATTGAGAGGATGAATGGTAGAATATTGCAGAATGGAGGGTTGTGTTGATGATTTGATTTCGAACGTCGCACTCGGGAACTTCTTCCATGAAACGTTCCGTTTGACCAATTCACTGTAAGGGCCCGGCATTACACTGTATTGCTCTGTGGTTTGTGCTTTATCAGGTGTGAGATGTGAGATGTAAGAGGTGAATTTTTGAATTTTAGAATGTGAGGTGTGAAGTGTAGAGGTTGAAGTGTAATGGTGATATGATAGGCATGATATGATTGATATGGGATCTGAAGGCCGCATTGGAGGAATGGGGAATTACTACACCAACCATTTCGCGTGAGGAATATCAACGACAACTCCAAAATAAAATGAGAAAGCATCGAGAATTCTTCTCTTTGACTTTGACACTTTTTTTCTCAATCAATTTTTTTCCCATGAAGATATAAATAAAAAAACGATGGGGGAAGTTTTCTCAATACAACCAAAAGAATCAATTGTTTTTGGTGGATGGAGGATATTCCGCCAAAAAAGGGTAGTTGAAAGCTGAAGAGGAGTACAATTTGGTTGAAGAAGTGAGAGAGAGAGGAGAGGCGTCGATCACAGATAAAAAGGATGGATGGATGGATGGATGGCTGGCTTACTTACTGTCGTTCATTTGCAGCCTCGCCCCTTCCAAAGCTACCGGCTTTGCACGATAATGTTATCTCGATGACCCCTTGGATTGAAAAAGTCGACGTCAAGCCGGACAGAAGAGAATGAGAAGAAGTTCTACCAAACGATGATGGTGGGAAAATCGGATAAAGAACACTCGAAGGAAGAGGGTTTGGATTGTGGATATGATGGTTATGGTAGAATCTTCTTGTGACGATGAGTCGTCTAATGTAAGACAGAAAAGACAAATACCAGCATCAACGGGTTGTCACCGTCGTCCGTCCCGAAATTTGGGTTGGAACGAAGGAGTTGATGATGGAGGCTTTTATCTTAGCGGGAAGATGGATGATGATATAGGTAGTAATTTGATGTGAGTGGTGGGTGTGCTGTGCACGGAAAGGTGCTAAGTCAGGCCAGAGGGGAAAAGGTAGTAAGTACGGTAGGCGATAGAGGGTAAAGGCGATAACTTGATTTTGAGCCAAATGAAAGAGAAAGAGAGAGAAAAGAAAAAAGAAAAAAAGCCTCCCAAGGAGAAATACGCAATGATTCAAGGAACAAATCTTTTTTTTTTCTTCTCCCTCCTAACCTTTCTTTTTCTTACTTCTCTGCCTTCCCTTGCCCTCTCTTGGTCCTTTTCCTGATTTCTCAAAGGCTACCTTTCTTGACTGCTTGCTGCGTGCTGCGTGCTGCGTGCTGCGTGCTGCTTCTTGCTTGCTTACTCGCTGCTAGAAGCTATCGTGCGTGCTTCCGCGAAATTACACTCCAAGAATGTACAAGCTGAATTGCCGCTCCTTATTCGTCGCCCGATTTCGGTATAGGTACTGATGCAAACGCACTGTTCGAATAGGCCTGAAGAGTCCCTGTAGAATTGGAATTTGTGTCCTGGGGTTAGGATTGGCTATGGGTCGATTTTGATGGGGTCCCAAGTAGCCTCGTCGAAACAAGAATTAAAAGGTTAAAAGACCTGACAGAGGATCCAAAATTGGTGAGAGTGGCTTTCTCGCGCCGCCAATCTTCTCCCAAAAAGTTCCAAGAATATCCTAAACGGTCCCCTGAAAAGGCGTCAGATACCCACCGAGAGTAAAGCACTCGGGGAAAGTTACGCTGGAAGGGCTGTGGGAAATATCCAAGAATCGCAATTGCACAGGGTCCCTCGAATCTGCTCGATAGAGTATCGAGGGTATGATTGATGCGACGGCTGTAATGGAGCGGTGATATGCACGAAATTGCTAGGAATATCCTCGCAGTACCGTCCGTACTTCTCAACGTTCGGTAGGGAGATGTTGATTTTCTTGCTTAAATCTTACCCGTACCCGGCGTATTGTTTCGAATCCTTACGCACAGGGGGACGTTTGAAGCGGCGTGTAGTGATGGAATGAATTCAAGAAAATCAAAAGGTGGTGTGAAGAAGAATCAACAAATCTAACAGTCTCACAATCGAGAGGGGCTGCTCTTAATCGAATTCGTTTTTTTCTTTTCTTTTCTTCTCTATTGATTGGCTCTTCCAACGTGTCTTAAGAAATATCTTTTTGTCCAGTCGTTGCTCGTTGCTGTACTGAAATACACCGCACTGCACCCTATCGCCGGTTTGTTTGCTGGATTGCTTGCTGTCTTCGGCAAGGCTCTTTTATTTTTATTATTATTTTTTGGCCCGTTTTAGAGGTTCGACTTGGACGCGGAAGCGCAACGGTAGATTAGCTCCGAGCTTTGATTGTTATTGTCGCAATCTAAGTTTTCGGGGGTGGCAGTTGGCGTCTCGTGGGAACTGGAACTAGCTTCCGACGATGATAGTGATGATTTAGTGCGTCCTTGATAGGCTGGCTGTATGGGTATGAAAATGGACTGGAGATCCCTTAAAATCTTAGGCCTGCTGATCCTTTTATTTCGGGGGCCAACCAAGTATGATGATGGAAAAAGAAAAAAAGAGTAATAGCGGTCGTTGAGGAGGCCGTGCGTGTAGTCGAGAGCTACCCGTGTGTGTGTGTGTAGGCAAGAGTATGCTGATTATGAAAATGTTCCAGATTGTTGATGCTTGATTGAGAGAAGTACAGTACGGTGGGTTGTAGTGGATGTACCGTAAAGTATGCAGGCGAGGATCAGTCTGGGATAGTGGGTGGGTATGTATGTGTGCGCGTGTATGGTGGTTTCCAATGTCTCAACGAAGTATGGTATGGTATCGGTATGTATACTTTGATCGAATGAATGTCAATGAGCAAATGGAGAAAGTTATGATTTGAGATGAAAATATTTCACTCTTCCTTCTGGATATCCTCTTATTTTGTTGCAATGTTTGCTTCGGGGATTAATCCGATCGAGTTCAATTGCAACAATGAGATTGCGGAAAATTGCAGAAATTTCTGGAGAACTAAGGTACGAAAACTGTTGGCTATAATGCAGTTAGCCTACGAAGCACTTTTCAGACAGGCTTCCGATCGAATGAACAAGGATAACAAGCTCGACACCAATGTAAGAAGGACGATTTCGGGATGGTGAATTCAATTTGGTGGGTGAAGAATAGATATCATGTTCCTCCACCAAAAGGGTATATAAACGTGCCTAGGATCTTGAATGCACGGCTGATCCAATGCGCCGGTTAATGGTCGATGGAATGATTATGAGAAAACTAAAATGAGAACAAGAATGAGGAAAGATTCCTGTACTGACGGGATGAGCGGACTTTCAATTCGCTGAACTTTTGGATACTTGTATGAAGAGTGCCGGTGTGCTGAATTCAGTCCTGCAAGCTTGATTGGCAAGTGATGGGCCCTTGAACTTGCCGCCCGAACAAATTTGAGATGCGGAGAATGGATGAATGAATAAATGACTGAATGAGTGATGATCTGTATCCTTGATGTTGACTTGAAACGTTCTCTGGTAACGTAATTCGATATTGATGCGAGATGATGTTGAAGGAGCAGGATCTTGCAGATTAATGATATGGATATGTATGATTTTTTATGATAGCTATATTGCAGGCTGCAGTTTACTTTCAAGGAGGAGAGATGTTGAGATATATGATACCCGAATATTGATACTAACGCCGTCGAGTTTGGTTGAAAAGTCTCAAAATGTTTGCTGATCATTAGCACGTGGAGGGGCCAATACGTCTATCTCTCCTAGTACATATCAGTTCTTCCTATTCCGAGCGGCTTGACGTGATTTTTGGCTATAACGAGTTCCAATCTCCTGGAACTGGATTTAACGTTACCAAAAGCCGGAGGTACCGAAAGATACTCGCACAAAGTTTGAATCAATAAAGCTTCCGGGTCAACAGAACGTTGCGCAAGATCAAGGGCCAACTGATAGTGATTTTTTTGATTTTTTGGGGGAATCAACCAAGACTTTGATAGGAAGAACTCGAGTGTATTAGCTTCCTTTAAGCTTTCACTGACAAGCAGCACAAGATGTAGGATCTAGCTCAAGATCATTGACGATAGTTCAGGGCGAAGTGTATGAACCTAGAATAGAGCCAATGAAAAAAAAAAAAATGAAAAACATTCACCAAAGTTCGTGGTCAGGCAACCAGCCGCAACGAGCTCTCTTTGCGTGGACAAACTAACACTTGAACTGGGGGTCCTTCGATGCAGGAACACAATATCTAGGTGCTGGAAGTCTATCTAGATTTGGTGGAGCACGTCTGTGGATGATCTACCAAATCTGAGTTATCATATCCATCAGGCACCGCCGGCTTAAGGTGCCCGAAGCGTCTTGGAGAGCCTCACACCATTTCCTTTTTCTGCAAATCATCAGTGGCGGGCGGGGAAAGACTTGGTCAGACAATCTCCAGCCAAAAGTTAAATGAACATCATCAACAAGCAAGGTATTGACCGAGTTAGCTAAGATGGCTGAGGTCTGATGTGCATGCTGAAGCGAGAATCATGATTGGACAATAGGAGATATCAATTTGGCAGAGCCTTTTACGAGCTATTATGATCCTCGAGATGCGCCATCAGAAGGATCGGAATGTCTCTATTGGCCATCATATTGAAGAAAGGAGCATCACATAACCAATTGAAGTCCTTGAGTTCCTTTTTGTTTTCTTTTTCTTTTCTTTTTTTTCTTTTTTTTCTTTTCTTTCTTTTTTTCTTTTTTTTTTCTTTTGGTTCTTGCAAGCTTTTCCGAGAAAAGTGGAAGTTTTGGGGGGGGGGGGATATTCAACCTGTTGTGACACTACCACATTAGCCAATTCAGCGTCGAAGTTATTTTCCAGGCTGCAGGTTAGCATTTTGGACCCTTTGAATAGAAAACCCAGCAAAAGACTTACTGTAGAGACCTGGGTTGTCAGAGTAAAAGTTGAACGTTTCTGTAAAGTCAATGTCTAGGTTTAAGTTTGTCGTTGCCTGCTACCAAAATTAGAAAGAAAAACTTGCGCGAATTTTTTGGACCACGGTAATTTTCAATCAATTAGCGTATGAGGAGAGGTGCACTAGTTTCCGAGACCTAAGTGACTGTTTTTGCGGATTTACCCCAAGGTTAGAGCTGCAAGGTGCAAGGTGCAAGGTGCAAGGTGCGAGGTGCGAGGTGCGAGGTGCGAGGTGCAAGGTGCAAGGTTCCAAAGTAAAAGTACAGCAAGCAATAGGAAGCAACAGCACACTTTCGTTTTGCACACTTCTCACCTTCTCACCTTCGCAACTACGCATCTTCGCATCTTCGCATCAAGAGTTCAGAAATGTATGGCGACGGCGTAATCAACTACCGATAATTACATCAATGCCCAACTAGGTTCATCCAATCAATGGACTTGCCCACGAGATTAATTCATCCCAGATTTCCCCCCTTCCCCCCCCCCCCAAATGATGAAAAGGGCCGTCTCTCATGGTGACATAGTACTATTGAAGCTTTTCCGACTTCAATGTCTCAGCCCCCTGGGAATTATCGTTGATATCAGAAAGTGAAAGGCCCCTAGTCAATAGGAGTCCCCCATCAGACGGTAGTGGCTTGAATTTAGTGTGCTTTCAGGAGGGATATCAAGATATGCTTTGATGAGCTTGGATCAATTTCGATGAATTATCAATTATCTAGGTATCAAAAATAAACACGCCCCTCTCTCCATTATCGTCCTCTCCCACTTCTAACTGACCGAGTCAAATGGTTGACTACTGACGGACAGCTGCGGCTTTCATTCAGAAGTGGAGGGAGGCATATCAGCTGTTCCTCTCAACTGCGCCATGTTTGACATTTTATTTTTGACATTTCTAAGCTGGAAACTCAGATGACGCCGATATCTGTATGAATCTTTGCATTCATCTGCTCGCACCTCTTTCTAACTCTATCCATCTTAGTAAGGATCACGTAGGAAAGACGAGATTACCTTGTTTGATAAAGTAGATCCTGACAGTCTCGTAAACACGGCGTGCCTCGCACCGCGCGATAGCCTAGTAAGTCCTAATACCTATCTATTAATGTCAAATGCAATGTGCCGGCAACCATCTTCCGCATTCAGCATGGATGGACTTCACAACTCCCTCCTTTTTCTTCGACAATAGTGCCCAGGTCTCACGCCAAGGCATTGACGGAGAATGTCCATGGCACCTTTTGTCATCTTTGACGTCAAACTCACTGGACGTACATCTCACACACTCATTCCTATCAAGAGCCGGGATATCTCCAGAGATTCCTTTCGACTGGCGAAAGCATATTGGGTGAGAGCTCGATATACTTTGGATAACATTGGGATGGCTTATAGACCCATGCCGGCTCCATCTCTTCCCCGCAGGGACCTGGGTTGCATCGCGTATCAGTGAGCAGGTAGGAAGCCAAAAAGAAATAGCAAGCCGAAGGCCGAGAACAACCAAGGGAATCACCACTACGCTTCATGGATTAATTCTCCGC